GAAAGAGAGGAAGAGCAGCTGCGCCGCCAGGAGCGTGACAGGAAATTCCGTGAGGAGGAACAACTGTTCGGCCAGGAACGTGACAGAAGATTCCGTGAGGAGGAGCAGCTCCGTCAGGAAAGGGAAGAAGAGCAGCTGCGCCGACAGGAACGCGACAGACGATTCCGTGAAAAACAGCTGCGCAGCCAGGAGCAAGACAGAAGATTCCGTGAAGAGGAGCAGCTGCGTCAGGAAAGGAAAGAAGAGCAGCTGCGCCGCCAGGAGCGCGACAGGAAATTCCGTGAGGAACAGGAGCTTCGTCAGGACAGGGAGAAAGAGCAGCTCCGCCTTGAGGAGCAGCAACTGCGCCGCCGAGAACGAGAGCAACAGCTTCGACAGGAACGCGACCGAAGATTCCGTGAGGAACAACTCCGCCAGGAAAAGAAGGAGGAGCAGCTGCGCCAAGAGGAGCGCGACAGAAGATTCCGTGAGGAGGAGCAGATCCGTCAGGAAAGGGAGGAAGAACAATTGCCTAGCCAGGAACGACAGAGTCACTACCAGACTGAGGAGGCCTTTGTCAGGGAGAAGAATAGTCTGGAGCAAGAACTTCGGCAAGCAGAACAGAGAAGTCGCCTGGAACGAGAAAGGAAATTCCAAGAAGAGCAGGTCCAACGCCAAAAGGAGGAGCAAAGGCGTAGCAAAGTCCAGGAGAGGCGATCCCGAGAAGAAAAGGGTGATCTGGAGCCTGGCAAACGTCAGTTTGCCCATGTTCCAGTGGTGCGCTCCAGCCCCCTCTATGAATACATCCAAGAGCAGAGATCTCAGTTCCGCCCTTAAGAGCTGCTGCAACATGCTAACATAGGCCAAAGCTTCAAGCAAAAGAAAATGAGAAGCCCTGGGTACCAAGTGATAACTCACGTGATAACTCATGTGCTTCTGGTTATGGGAAAACTCTCTAATGTTAAAATTTGTCTTTTCTTCCAAAATCTTAAGCTATAGTTATTTCATTACTTTGTACTCCTGCCTTTTATTCTTCCTTGGGTACTTCTTTACTACAAAATGTCTTTGCTCCTTGGTGAAGATTTGGTGTGCCTTTTTAAAAACACAACAGTCATGTGTTTATGGAGTTTTGAGGAACACGTTGATGTATTGCCTTTAAAAATAGCAAGAATAATACAACAATTTGAGGCTCAAGGCAACTAAATCTATTTTTTAATGGCTGATCATCTTGTGGAGATTATGTATTTAAAGTTTTTTTTCCCCCTTGGGCCCAAATTTCATTAATCTTTACCACCAAAATGCTTTTTGGGGGGTGTTTGTGTGCATCATGATTATCACAGATTCCACTAGGTGAGTGAATTTTTACAGACCTTGAATAGTGCAGGAATGACTTCTGCAGAAAAATTCTCTGTGAAATGAGCCCTTAATTGTAATAAGTATTTGCTAAGAATAAGGTATAGCTTAAAGATTTAGAATGTGGGATTTTTTTTTTTTTACATTGACTTGCACATAAACCCTTAAGATCTCATGAAGCAAAAGAAAAGTGTTTCTCAACCTCAGAGCGCAAATTTGTAAGTGTCTACTGTAGTTTGTAGTGCTCAGTTCTAGTACTCCAAGTTTTGATGGGTTTCAAAATATTACCATTTTTGTTCATTTTAATTTACAGGGAACCTAAGCAAGATCCTATAAACATCTACCTTGTTATAAGGCCAATAAGGTATCCCAGAAGGCATATTTGAGGAAAAAACGGGGAAAGTGTGTGTATATGTGTGTGTGTGACAGAGGGGCAAGTTTCGAGAGTCTTTGACAAGACTTATGATCCCAATTCCTTTGAAACCTGTTACTACCTTGGAGAATTTCTTGCTGAAATAATTGGATTGTATGAAAAATTAATAAATGTTTGGCAGATAATGATTTTTGTCTGTTTTAACTGTGTGTCAATCATAACTCAAGATCTAATACTCGGGAAACTGACATAAGTTTCTAGTCACTGGTATTTTGTTGCCATCATTTATCCCCAACTATGAAAAGGAAGCGAGAACCCTACTCTTCTCATCCATTTTTCCCAGTTAAGATGAACACTATATTATTTCCATCCCTGCACTGGGGTCTTCTTTCCAAGTGTTTTTGTTATGGGTTCCACCACTTTCTCTACCCTCTCTTGTAGTGACTCACTGGTCATAACAAATATTGGTGCTCCTTGTGTTTAATATTTCCTTCTGAGAATGCAACAACTTTTTGGTCACTAATGTCAGATCAATAGCCTATGGTAGAAATGGCCCAAAACTTCAGGTCTGCACTATAGACATAGCAGATTACCTACTAATTTAAGCAACATAATCCATGAAGCAACTGAATCAGAAGAAGCTAAATAGTAATCAGGCCAAAGTATTAAATTATCGGGGCTGGGAGTTTAGCTCAGCGGCACAGCGACTGCCTGGCAAGCACAAGGTCGTGAGTTTGATTCCCATTACAGAAAAAAAAAAAAAAAAAAACAATAACAACAAAGTATTAAATTATCATCTTATCCAAAAACCCCTGTGCCATCTGCTGGAGTCTATGTTTAGTATTCACCATTTGGCAACTAGGGATAAGTCCAAGAAGACCCTGATCAGGCTATATCACTTCTAATTGTGAAGATCATGCATAAAAATGCCTTAAACTTACAGTCATTCAACATTTTTGCCAGTGATATAGACAAGAAAACTAAATCTATAATTTCTGAGTATTATTCTGATACAGTAAAGTGATACTTTCTATAAGAAGTATAGCCTAGTACCCACCAAAGGTAGCACCAAGAAATCCCTTGAGACTATCTTTCAAATGACTATCCCTTGAGCCTCTTTCAAATGATTTCTAACTGAAAAACTATTTTTCTCCTAAAGTAAATATATACTTTTCCTTAACGATCTTCACAGAAACCCTGTAAGAGCCTCACTGTCTTTCCCTGGGATTCTATCAAACAGCATTCATTTGGGAGCCTCCTTATAAATAACCAGCCCCAAGAGACTGCTAAAATATACACTTTTCAGCTAAGCTACAGCTCAGCAATAACAATTATAGTAAAAATAATTAAAGCCCTTTAGACTTGTTGCACTTTAAAATATGAGGAAAATATAACTTTCAAAGAAGAAAGTAGCTTCATTACAATTTTAATAACTTTTTAAATGAAATATGTCAGTTAACCCATGCCCTCTAGCTGTTCTCTTCCTATAGTGGCAGAAAAATATGAAGGGCAACCTTTCTGCTCCACCTGAGTAATGTACATGTATGGGCAGGACCTAGAGACTGTTCAAAAGCTGCTTGCTTACCATAAACAGGGAGCTCTAATAACACCACCTTAGCTGCTGCTGAGGAATAGGGTAGAGGATTAAATCTGCTGAGGCAAAAGCTGGTCTCCATGTACTATGGACTGAACTGCACCACACACACACACACACACACACACACACACACACACACACACACACACACACACGTTTGAAGTCCTAATCCTCAGGAATTCAGAATATAACCATATGTGAGGTTACATTGTTTAAACAGGTGATTAAAATGAAGTTATTAGGTTGGGTCTTTCATGACTTCTATTCTTACATTACAAGGAAGTTTGAACACAGAAACAAGATGATCTGAAGTTATAGGGTGAAGATGGCCACCCAAAATTTCATTAAGTCAAGGATAGAAGCTTGGAACAGATCCTTATGGTCCTGAGAAGAAACACCCTACTGACACCTTAATCTTGAACTTCAAGACTCCAGACAGTAACACAGCTAATTTTTTTTCTTTAGGCCACCCAGTCTGTGATGCTTTGTTTTGATAGCTCCAACTAATATATCATGTAAAGTGGAATCACTTTTCTTTTTTAAAAATGTAGAGCATTTTTCTGCAAGATAAAATCCAAGGTCTTCAGTTCAGAATTTAAAGCCTTCCACAATCTAGGGCAACCTACTTTCTGATCCTTGGCTCCTATAATATTTCTGTATCCAATCCTGTGCTCAAATTAGATTAGTCTGTTTTTGTTTTTAGTGCATCTCGTGATTGTCCTTACTTCCAAGACACACTGGCTCACTATTTTCTATTCAGAATGCCTGTCTCCCTCCTATTTGCCAGTGCAATTTCTGCTGAGATTATGAGACTCAAGTTGAGTTCCATCTCCTTCCAAAATCTTTCCTAATTGCCTTGACATGCAATATCTATCTGTTCACTAAGATTCTAAAATAAATATTAATTTACTACTCATTAACTGTGTGTTAATTACTTTTCTCTTGTTGCTGTGACAAAATATCCAACACTCAGACTTAAGGAAGGAAAGGTTTATTTAGCTCATAGTTTCTGGAGATTTCAGTCCATACTCGATTGGCTCCAAGGCAGAGTAGCACATGGCAGAGGGCAACACTTCACGGCAGCAGAAAACAGCAAAATCAGCAAGAGCAAAAAGGGAGGAACAACAAAGTGCAAGCTTCTTTCTCTCCCTTATATTAGATGCAAGCTACCCACTCCAGGGCGAGTGTAGCACTTGCACTCATAATCCCAGCATTGGACCATTAATTAATCAAAAACTCTAGAAACCTGCCCCATGACTGCATGAGGCTTTGCAGCCTATAGCATCTATACACAAGCCATAGCAAACTGATTACAATATTCTGTTCCACCTGTCTTTATACGTATCTCATCTTCCCAATTATATTTTAAATACCTTGAAAACTGAGACTAAAGCTCGGGCTTTTTTGGTATAATTTCCATGACACACAATAAGCAGTATAGCTCTATGAATTTCTGAGAAAATATGTGGACTCTCTCACTAGAAAAACATATATTCAAAAATTTTGTCTGGCCTTCAAAATTTCTTGGTTATGATGAAGTCTTCTTTACGCCACTGGCTTAAGGAATTATAAGAATTAGGCACATAATTTGGTATTTAATAGATACATGTAAAAGTGAATTTATGTAGGTTTTATATTTTCTTCCTACACAGTGCTTCATCTATCCATCTGTCAGATGTGCCAAGTCTTCTGAATATAGAAGTCCTATGTACTTTCTTTTATCTTGATAACTCCTTAACCTCAGGCCTTAGTGAATATTCATGATTTCTTCTCCTTCAGTTTATTCTTTGTTTTGTTTTGTTTTATTTTGTTTGGTCTTTTCTTCCGGTACCAGGAATTGAACTCACGACCTTGCGCTTGCCAGGCAGGTGCTTTGCCACTGAGCTAAATCCCCAGCCCCTCCTTCAGTTTATTCTTACTCTGCCTAGGAACTGGAGTGAGCTCTGTTCTTAGCATCTATCAGTGCCACTTAGTGTGTTAAAAATGCAGGGAGTAGATAAAGACAAAAGTGAATTGTAGTTCCATGTACCACTGAGAAGAGGTGGTGCACTAAGAAGCAGATGTGATAATTCAATTCCAGATAGTGGCTGGTTTTCTCATAGAAATTTGAATTCAAACCAAATAAGAATATATTGAATTCCTACATAATATATATTAATTCACATCACCCCTTGAGCCAGATATCTTTGCATGAGATAAAGAGGCTTCATTGTAACCATTAAGAGTATTTTCCTTTTGAAAATGTTCTTGCCTGGTATGTATGAGTCAATTTTACCCCTCCTATTAGTATTACTTTGAGCTCTATATGTTACTAAATAATGACATTGCACTTATGCTAAGACTATATGAGCATCCCTTTTTCCCTTATAGCACCTTACAAAATATACTCACATTAGTCTTAATATGTGACCTATGGCCAAACCAAACTCCAAGTTTCATCCCTAACCACATGTAGAAAGGAGTGGGTAGAAGTAGGAGAGGAAGACAAGTTTCACACCATTTTGCCACAAGTGTGGTGGTCAGAGACGCACAGAGCTCCTAAGATCAGCAATATCTAACTCTGTTTAGCAGAATCAGGAAACGCTTCCCTATGGGAACTGATGTTTAAATTAAAATCTGAAGATAGGTATAAAGTTACCATAGTGAGGAGGATAAGAAAGAGCTTTCTAGAAAACATGAAATTTATAAAGATTGGAGAGAAGAGAAATCACTAAGGATTCAAAAAATTGAAATTAGATTTGGATAGAGCCTAGAATCCTGAGAGATAAGTAGCAACAAATGAGGTAACAGAGGTCTGTGAGGTGAGTGATTTGTAAGCTATATTACCTTGAGGCAATAAGGTACCGTTGTCACTTTAAGCATTGTCATTTTAATCACTCTGGATGTAGTGTACAGAATGGGTTAGAGAGAGTCAACGTGGAAAACAAAGACTTGGGCTCCACCAGAGGAATACAAATGTCTGGCCCATCCCCCTACACCGCAGGACCAGCGGCTAGCATGGAAAGCACCCCAGACTCCTGTGAAAGAATTTAAGTGCCTGGGCCATGCAGCTACACTGTGGTACCAGGCCATTTGGAACGCCAGCCACACAATGGGACCTGGACTAGGACACACATGATGAACAAGCAAGACTAGCAAGATGGAAAAGTCCAAAATACGAGACAAAAAGTAGTAAGTTAGGTGAACCAGCATTGTGCTTAGAGACAAAGACACATGGAATAGAAACAGGTGGGAGAGACTACCCCTTTTCTTTTTTTGTGGTTTTTTATTTTAAAGAGAATTTTAAAAAAATAACAAAATAACAACATTTTACCTATTTTAGCTTTGTTTTTATCTTACTTTCTTTTTGCTTTTTCTCTTTTCTTTTTTCTCAATTTTTTCTTTCTTTTCTTGTTCTAATCCCACCCCCCAAACCCAGAGACCAAGTTCAGATAACCCCACACATACTCCTTCATTCTTTCTTTTCTACCCCATTCTCTAGTTTCCCAAACCTTGTATGACCATCCTTTGGCCTCCAGCCTTGCTTCTACTTCCTTACCAGTTATTGTTTTCTTACATACCAACTTTCCTAAATTTCCCCACCACAGGGTA